CCCCGTTTTTACAAAATGCATATCTTACACTCTTTGGGTTCTAATTCTCCCAGATCACTCTTATGAGACAGAACGTTGGTGAGGGGCTGGGGATGCGGCTCAAGCAGTAGCGCACTCGCCTGGGCACTCGCCTGGCATGAGCGGGGAGCTGGGTTTGATCCTCAGCACCACATAAGATAAAATAAAGATGTTGTGTCCACCGAAAACTGAAAAAGAGATATTAAAAAATTCTCTCTCTCTCTCTCTCTCTCTCTCTCTCTTTCTAAAAAAAAAAAGAGAAAAAAAAGTTGGTGAAACAGGAGGACAATGAATTCCCATTTCATAGTAGGAAAGCAGAGGACCAAGAGCCACCATGACGGGCGGCGTGGAGACTTCTCTGGGTAGAACCAGATAGACTCTAACTGGGCTGTGTCACATGGCCCAAGTTCCTAACCCTTGAGTGTCCTCCCTCGCCTGTAAAACAGCGAAGAACACACATGTGACCATCTGTCACTTCAGTACTTGGCACACAGTAGGTGCTGGTTAAAGCCTGATCACCCCCTTGACTGGGGCCCTTCAGCTGTGGGGAAGCAGCTGGTGCCTCCTTGGACACTCTGGCTGCCTGTGGCCTGCCCTCCCTGCTCATAGCCATCACTTATTTACACAACAAGGGTTCACTGAGCATCTCTTTTGAGCACCAGGCCATGCATTAGATCTGGAGAGAGAGCACTGAGCAATGCAGACGAAACCCCTGGCCCTTGTCAACGTGCACCTAATTAATGACATTAAACAGGATAAATAAAGAAAGCATGTTGCAGATTAAGTGCCCCAAAGAAAAACAAAGCCGGCGGAGACGGGGGGAGAGGGGGCCACACTGAAACCGAGACTCGACCGAGAGAGCACAAGCCCCGTGGGCACCCGGGACAACATTCCAGGCAGGGGAAGGGCCACCTGGCTTCCGTCTCCCCGTCCCCATTGCACCTCAAGCTTCCATTTGAAGGAACCGTCCCAGGCCGCAGCGGAGTCCTGACTGGCCTCCGGTCACTTCCCTCCCTCTCACGGCTCTCTTCCCTGAGCGCAAAGTCTCACCAGCAAGTGGCC